GGCCCTTGTCCTTCCGAGGGGCAGGCCGCCACAAAAAAAATAAAAATAATTTAAAAAGAAGCAGGCAAAGGCAAAACTGAGAGGAAGATGCTGGGCCCAAAAGCCTAGCTTGGTGGTGGTGGAGGTTTGAAGCCTTCCCTCCACCCTTTGTAGTCGCAAAGTGGGGCCTTCCTCTGGGTGGGGCGGAGTTTGGGGTTGCCATTGAAGCCAAGGGGCTGCCTCCCGCCCCCCCCAGCTGCCGTCGAGTGAGAGAGCCACGGGGTCCTTTTCCTCTTGGCAGGATCTGGTTGGACAGCCGCATTTGAACCCGTGAGCTCCTCGCCCCCTGCCTCCTGCGTGGCCATGGACGTCGGATCCAGCGTGTGGGATTCGGCCACCGACGACCTGAAGGCTCCGGAAGAGAGAGGCTGGGCCAAGTTCACCGACTTCCAGCCCTTCTGCTGGTCAGTGGGGTGGGCCCCTGAGCCGTGACGGGCGCCTGGGGCACAGCCGAGAGGGGGCGCGATCTGCCCCCTTGGCTCTGGCCCACCTGCCCCTCGGGTGGTCCTCCGTCAGGACTCTTTTGTGCTCGGGAGGCTCCCGGGGTGGGCGTCCTTTTACCGCCCCCGCCCCCACCAACCACCCACCCCTGGAGCCCAGCCTCAGAAGTGGGCCCGGTTGATGGTGGGCTGATGAGCCTGTCTGTGTGGGTCCTGGCCATTGGAAGAGGGAGAGCGCCCTCTCCCCGGGCGTTGTTTTTCCCTCTCGTCTCCCGTTGTTTGGAGGAAGCCGCTTAGAGCAGTCTGCGAGGGCTTCACTGCTGGCACTAGAGGACAGGCAGCTCACAGAGGTCGCTCTGTTGTCAGCAGAGATCCCGGCGCCTGGGTCGTGACAGAAGTCGCCGCGGGGCCTTTCCGGATCGCGTGGAGACATGTAAATAGGAGCTCTATAGAGACTGCGGGAGGCCTGTGGCGATGGGGCCAAACGGCTGTGGCAAGGCCCAGCTGGGTCCCCTCGGCTGCTTCTTTGGAGAAGGAAGGCGTGGGAGAGCCAGGGCCCTCCAGGTCCTGTGTGTGTGCGCCCCTGTGGTCGGGAGGATGGCAGGCACCCGTTGCCTGGAAGGGGCCTCTCGTTGACAAGCGGCTTCTGGCTCTGACCTTCCCTTTCCTTCCCCACTGCAGTCTCTTCCTTTACTTTCCCTCTGGGGCATATCTCCCCCCCNCCTTGTACTGAAAAAGCTGCCGCGAGACCAGCAGCCGCGGTTTGGGATCTGTCTGGTTTTTCAGTTGCTGTCGGTGTCCTGGGAGTTACTGCTGAGGACATTGGCCAGTAACCTGCCTCCCACTTTTGTCCTGGAGTGCCTGTGTTGGGAGAGATGAGAGAAGCTGGGGGAGGGGGAGAGCATGTGGAAGCAGGGCCAGGTTGCTCTGGGGGTGGGATGGGGGTTCTTTTCTGTCTTGCTCCCACCTGGCACTGTGCCCAAAGGGTGTTCCCCGTGGAGACTCCCTCCTCCAGCCTAGCAGGAGGAAGACATTTCCCTCCAGCCCGCCTCTTGCTGGGTTGTCTACTCTTTATTATGTTGTGAAATTCATAAAGGAGGTTGCCAGACACCGAGATACATTGTTTCAAATATATACTTTCATAAGCCTCTTTGGAAAAGGTACACAGGGATCCCTAAGAAAAAGGGTGTTCCCCGTGGAGACTCCCTCCTCCAGCCTAGCAGGAGGAAGACATTTCCCTCCAGCCCGCCTCTTGCTGGGTTGTCTACTCTTTATTATGTTGTGAAATTCATAAAGGAGGTTGCCAGACACCGAGATACATTGTTTCAAATATATACTTTCATAAGCCTCTTTGGAAAAGGTACACAGGGATCCCTAAGAAAAGAACATAACATCTAAAAATTATAATACATACCATATACAATTGAGCACCATATGCAACAGCATTCCATGTAACGCCAAACGATAGGCAAACTCAAAGGTTATGCCTTGCATGTAGTATAGCACCGTCCGAGGGAGGGTGTGTGTGTGTTTGAGGGTGAAACAAAGCTACATTTATAAGGGTGATTGACTATAGGGAACACATGAGGTTCCTTCCAAGTTTGTTCATTAAAGAGAAAGGACATGTTACAGATTGCATATTACAACACCCCTTCTCAAGATGTAACATGGATACAACTTTGGTTACATAATCAATTACATAGCCCATAATCAATTCTGCTGGTGTTAACATTAAACATATTTAACATTTCCCGAAGATGTACAAATTTTTCTTGTAGAGATTAGAGTTCTTCTTCCGTAGCTCTCATGCATTTCGCTTTCTCTGAAACAGGCAATTTCATGATCTCATTCCAGTTTGTTGGTTCCTTTGTCATATGAAGATTTTCACAATATCCATATCTTACTGGTTGTTTCCCTTTATTAACCCGTTCTGATCGTCTCACAGAAGTTGTCATCTCTGTTTCCTTTGGTCCAGTTCCTGCTTCCCCTTCTGTCTCGGTAACCCTTTCAGAAGATGGACCTGCTGGTTGACCAGTGGTCTCTGCACATAACCATTCGACCAATACCTCCGAAACAGTTTCTATATTCTGTGAATCAGTTGTCACTGTGGGTTCGTTTATCTGATACTTTACAAAATTCTCATCAACATATGCTTTAAATTTTTCTTGTAGAGATTAGAGTTCTTCTTCCGTAGCTCTCATGCATTTCGCTTTCTCTGAAACAGGCAATTTCATGATCTCATTCCAGTTTGTTGGTTCCTTTGTCATATGAAGATTTTCACAATATCCATATCTTACTGGTTGTTTCCCTTTATTAACCCGTTCTGATCGTCTCACAGAAGTTGTCATCTCTGTTTCCTTTGGTCCAGTTCCTGCTTCCCCTTCTGTCTCGGTAACCCTTTCAGAAGATGGACCTGCTGGTTGACCAGTGGTCTCTGCACATAACCATTCGACCAATACCTCCGAAACAGTTTCTATATTCTGTGAATCAGTTGTCACTGTGGGTTCGTTTATCTGATACTTTACAAAATTCTCATCAACATATGCTTTACAATATTCAATCTCAGAAGTCTTAGGGTTCCATATTCTATACCCTTTCCTTCCAATAGGATACCCAACAACAATTCCTATTTCAATTCGGAGATTATGCTTTCCCCTTCTTTCTTTTGGGACATGTGCATATGCTCTTGCACCAAAAGTTTTTATATGTTTCAAACCAGGCCTTTTTCCATACCATAATTCTAATGGTGTTTCACCTGTTATTCTGCTAGGAATTCTGTTATGCAAATAAGTCGCTGTAACTACCGCTTCCGCCCATAGGGAATTAGGTAATCCAACCTTCATTAGCATTGATCTTGTCATTTCCTGCAATGTACGGTTTAGCTTTTCAGAGCATCCATTTTGTTGTGGAGAATAAGGTATGGTTACTCTATGTTCTATCCTTTCTTGTTCTAAAAATCTCTTGAACTTGGCATTACAGTACTCTCCTTCTCCGTCTGTACGTAATGCTAAAGGGGCTTTACCAAACCGGTTCTTAATGGCAGCTATATAACATTTAAAGTTTTCAAGAGTCTCATCTTTAC